TAACCAAAGTCCAATGCGCAATGAAAGACTGATCTGCAGTTATCTCAAGCGTCTGGTTACAGTTATTGCTGCTAAAGCGGACAATTACTTTTTCACATGGATGACATTTTTTTCTTAAAATCTGTATTCTGTTTACTCAGATTGTCTTTGTGTTATGGTGTATTTTGTTTGAATATCTAAAACTACTTAGTATGAGATGTACACACACAAAAAAAATCTAAATGAAGCAAATACTTTTTCAAAGCACATATGAATGTAATGATAGCTGTGTTTATGACTATTTATTGTTCTTTACATATCAAACAAAAGTAATTTAGTCATACCTTACATGATGAAACCACTTCACCGATGGGTCTGAATGTGTGATTGACGTGTTTCTGTGAATCTCTGCACACTAAACACACCGGCTGTTTGTCTTCCAGACAGAAGAGTTTGAGTTTCTCGCTGTGTAAACTGCAGAGCTCCTCAGATGCTAATGAACGCCTCTCATTTCTCTCCTTCAGGAACGACTCACACATGTTTTTTAAGGCAAGATTACATGGAGGATCACCTCGTGGGGATTTTCTCCTGCAGACAGGACACTTGTGAGTTTTCTTGGTTCTCCAGAACTGCTGAAGACACTCTTTACAGAAACTGTGACTACATGATAAAAGAACAGGATCCTTGAAGATATCATGACACACAGGACAAGAAAGTTCTTCTTGAACAGAATCCATTTTCACTGTTTGAGCTTCAGCAATCTAAACTTTACTTTCACTTTCTGACTGATGGTTTAAAAAAAATGTATGTTCAAAAACAAAACGTCTCAAAAAATCTCTTCCTTCTCCACTGATTGCTGATCCTTTTTTGCTTATTGTCAGAGAAGAGAGTCAGTATGAGAGAGATGGAAAATAAGTCAGTCTCTTATTGGTTAGTGTCATAATGTAAGAGGGTGGAGTTTCAGATGAAGTGAAGGTGTTAAAACAGCTTATAGGGTGGACTCACACTATCTGAACCGTGCTGGAGCGCGTTTGACCAGTCCGTTTGACTAGTGTGATCGGTTCGTTTGACCGTCCCTGGCCCGCTTGGAAGAGGTGGGCCAGAGCACGGTTCAGATGGGCTCGGGCGCGGTAGGCATGCAGTGTGATCGCTAAACGCGCTACTGTCATCATTACGACCGCAAACATCTTCTACTACTACTACATTACTACTACATTACACTTTTCAATTAATTATAACGGGTCTGGTTATCACCTTATTGATGAACAGGAATTGTAGTTTGCGAGTAAAGCTGCAAATTATTTTATTAACCTCAGCTGCCTCCGTAATAATCCTCCGATACATGCAAGTGAAAATCGCTGCACGGCATAAATTATAAATTCGGATTAGGAATTTAATATTAGAAATTATATTAGCGAAAGTGGTTTTCTCCCTGTTATCGCGTACATGACCGCGCTCCTGCTCCATGTTTAGTGCAAGTGTGAGTGCAGGCCAGCGGGGTAGGGAGTAATCGCGCTCGGGCTCGGTTCAAGGCAGGGCCGGACTGGGACAAAATTTCAGGCCGGGAAATCTCACTCCTCCAGGCCATCCCATACACCAACAACACATTTTGAAACCCTATTTTTTTTATGGCCATCACCATCACATAAAAAAGGTTTAAATCCTTAGGATGGGGACGTGCAAAATGATTCGTTTCTCTCTTCAACTTCACTTCCATTTTCCTTTTTATTCTCTTCATTTTCCCCGATAGGCTATCTCTCACCAATTGTGTGTGTGCGTTTACTTTTTTGCTAATTTTCTTGTACATGTCACTTTTTCATCAGCTCGTC